CTACGCAAATTATCACAGGAATTAGTCATTCATGTGTAATGTATTTTACCATAAGATACATTTGAGTAATGTATTGTGTGTGTGGTCATAGGATGGCACACTATATTAAATTTGCAAATTAATATAGATAAAACACAGAAAAAAATGCATGCTACAAATGCATAATGCGTGTAATTTAAATGAATACATGTAACTGATAGATAAAACTAATTTGGTAGTCACTTTTCAATACAGTATGAAAAGAATGAGTACTGCAGAAATGAGCAAGGAAATCATGCACATTTGTGATAAGCTAGCTAGCTAGCCAGTAAGTATAAACGACCCTTTTCTGTTATTCATGTTTTCCAGTCAAACACAGAAATCTGTGTACCGCTTAGTGAGTAAAGTTCCCTGTTGATAATGAACTGTCTCTTTTCTGGAGGCTTCTTATAACCGAGGAAAAGAGTAGGGTATGGGTTGTCCTCTGTCTGGTTTTTTTCCACAAAGTGAAAAGAGCATACGTAAAGTGTTTTGGGGGGCTTCTTTAAGTTCAGGTTTTTGAGCCAGTTTCGCTTAGCTTCGTCTTCTATAGGAAGGCGATGAAAACTGTACCCTCTCTCGCAAGTGCATTCCGAATCCTTTCTGTTCTAAATGATATGACAGTCTACGAACTATTACCTTTTCCATCCATTTACACAGGTGAGATGTTAACGCTATAGGCCTGTAATTCCCTGCATTGTCTGGGGTTTTACCAGGCTAAATATCAGAGCACTTTTCCAGTTATGAGGCAATTTGCCTTCTCTCCATATCTTATTAAACAGCATTCGTATAATTTCCATAAATTCGTCTGGTAATTGTCTAAACATAGCATAACACAGTTGGTCTTGCCCTGGAGCCGTATAACCACTTTTCTCTAAGGCCATTTTCAACTCATGCTTTGTGAATTCCATGCCTGGTGTTGATCCGTCAGTGTCCTTTTTCCTGAATACATCAGAACATTTCCTAATAATACCCTCTTTCCGTTGCTTATGCACTACATCTAAGTGACTTCCACTATGAATACTTGCAAACTTCCTACCTAATAAATCAGCTTTCTCCTTGTTTGTTATTGCCAAGTATTCTCCATCTACCAACACAGGGATTTTAACAGATTTCCTTTTGCCAGTCATCTTTTTAATCATTGACCATACATCATGCAGATCTATTTCTCTACCAATAGCTGAACAGAACTGTCTCCATGCATACTTCTTTGATTACTTAATTATTTTCCGTGCCTTAGCTTTCTTTCTTTGGTAATCAATCAAATTTTCTTGACTCAAATGCTTCCTTAGGACTCTAAATGCACAATTTATTTCTTTTATTGCATTTTTACATTCACTATTCCACCATGGAACCATTTTCCTTTTTCCATTCACTATGCTTTTTTAAGTTGATGCAGCATTAATAATTGAACACATCACTGCACTAGTACAGCTATCTACATCTCCTTCCATTGATATAGTTTCAGCAGATTCCTTGCAGCATACTCTAAATTTCTCCCATTCAGCTTTAGAAAAACACCATCTCTCTATTCTGTAACCTTTCTGTACATGTAGTTCAAAATTAATTGTGCATATTATCATATCGTGATCACTCCCTGTGTTAATGTTATTCAGTATTTTCCATTCACATGAATTGCTCATATTTCCAGAGACTAAGGTAAGGTCTAGGCATGATACTAAGTTTCATGTAGCATCTACCCTAGTGCCACTTCCATCATTAAGACAAACAAGTGATCTCTCATCCATTAATTCTTCAACTAATTCTCAATTTTTATCTGTGTGATTACTTCCCCATAGATTATTATGTGCATTAAAATCTCTGCACCATATTTCTCTTCTGTTAACACTTGGTATAATGTCTTGAGATTGTAGCATCTACCCTAGTACCACTTCCATCATTAAGACAAACAAGTGATCTCTCATCCATTAATTCTTCAACTAATTCTCCATTTTTATCTGTGTGGTTACTTCCCCATAGATTATTATGTGCATTAATGCACTTGGTATAATGTCTTGAGATATTTGCATTGATAACTTCTTGCATGGATTGTAAAAATGTACTGGTTTTATGTTTCCTCTGGGACTACATATTTCTATAACTACACATTCATATTCATTTTGAACATTTATCCTTCTATATGCTAGATTATCTTTAATGAATGTTAGACATCCTCCACCTTGTGATCCAATTCTATCACATCTAACAGAACCATACCCTGGCGAGACAAATTCCAAGTGTGGTCTTAACCATGACTCTTGAATACAAATAATTGATTGAATTGAGTGATTATTTCTGTTTGCTTTTGATTTTCTGTAAAAGACGGAATCTTCCCACAGGCAGGTTTGTGTTACTTGCTACACGAGTATCTTTAGATCTAGCTAGTTCACTTTCCTTAACCTTTTTAACTGCATCAGCATATGTCACTTGATTTATTATCTTGTACTTCTGTAGCTCTCTAGCTTGTCTTTGAACAGGACATCCTCCAAAAGCAGCACTATGTTCTCCTCCACAGCTGCAGCATCTGGTCTTTGCATCTTTATCACATTTGCCATATTCATGTTCCCCCCCACATCAGCCATGATATTTGCATCACTGTACAGTTGTTACTAATCCGTCGTCCAAAACACTGTTTGAAAAACGCACACTAATAACAAGCTTGCAGTCACAGTTTCAGAGCGGGTCTCTGCGCAACTTCTGGTCTGAGCGTGCTGTCCGGAAGCAGACCCTCCAGCTCTGGAATAGAGCGATACCGAGTTAATGAACTGGAGTGAGGTATGAGCTGACTTCTGAAGCTTTCATATTCTTCATAATCTGTGTGGTGCTTAGTTGAAAGCAGCTGAATATTAATAAGTGCTGATATTTGCCCATAAACCTATTTTCCAGCTGCGTTTTACTTTTATATGCACACATTTTCTAACCTTATTAGATGTATGCATCTTTTTACTATTAGAGTTTCATTAATCAATACTTTTAGAATGAGTCACATTTATTTATAAAGTGCTTTATACACAGCAAAATTGCCAGAGTTAATTCAACTCTATGAGAGTTCATTTTAACACTTTACTGGTGTATATATAATCCACACTGGCCCGAGTTAAATTAACACTTTTGAAAGTATTAATAAAGTAACAGACTCAAGAGTTAAACATTTCATTCTTCCCTATCATTAATTATTCACAAACTTTATATATAACCACAATATGCACTGTTCTAATCATACATTATAAAACAATTAAAGACTTAATTAATTTTTAATTTAGGTCCAGAGTTAAATAATTGCATAAATAAACCAATACAAAACAACAACATATACTTTCACATTTCATTTTTAATGAAACACTGAATGCAATGCATTTTGATGTGTGGAAAGCTTTGTAACATTTTTTAACTCATGTACAGAAAAACATTTTGTTTGTTTTTTTGTTTAAAAAAATGAATAATTAAAACACTGCCTAAACAAAACAATGAAAAGGCACAACATATGTATCCTCATTTGGTCCATATGCATTTTGAATGTTATAGGGCTTATAATGCTTAAGATCATCAGCTTTCACAACAGCATCAAACTCATTTCCATCAACAACTCTGAATGCATAACAATGCTCACTGAAGAGCTCTGTAACAACATTTTCACCCAACACAAGAATGTTGGTAATTTTACAGAATACTGGCATCTCATGCTTTATCTCTGTGCATATGGCAAGACCAGGTCTATACTCAGTGCCATCAAGTTTAGTCCAACTGGTAGAATAAATGTCTGTCTGTACTGGGATTTGCAAAGCACTTGCCAAGCCTTCACCATTTTCATAGTCACTTAGAGAGAAATAGTTCATTGGTCCAAATTCTTTCTGCTGTAAACAGAGCGTTTCCCAGTGGATTCCTATTGCCATTTGATGTTTTTTCGCAAATCGTCTTTAGAAAGAACTGGATCACTTTCATCATCTAAACGAGGTTCCTTGTCTGAGAGTTCAGACTGTACTGTATCTGACTGGGACGAAAAACTGAACAAGGAACATGAATTTTGTCCAAATGTTTTCTAAACCCAGAGTATGTGGAAAACTGCTTTCGGCAATGTTGTTGACTGCAAACATGTCTACACTTAGAAGTGGGATAGGAGCCATGTTCACACTTCAAATGTGAAATCAGTGAATGGGCATCGGCATACAACCCTTCACATCTAAAGCAGAGCAACATTTTTTCAAGATTTCAGCTCAGGTGCTATTCAGCAGTTTAGCTCGCAGTTCTTTCACTCTTGGTGACTTTTGTTTTTCCAACATCTATGTTATAAACCGGGGTCTGCAGGAAAGTGTAGAAGTTGATGAGAGCATTGTCGTAGGATATGTTAAAGATGTAGTGTACTTTGAAGAGCTCATCCAAAGCACCCAAAGAACCAGCCGTCTGACAAAGGATAAGCTTGTTATCCAGAGCAATGTAGTAGCTGTCAATCATGTCTTGACTCCTCCCCATGGCTAGAAGATATGGTTGATGACTTTGGCTTTTCTCCAGGTGCTCATCAATGCTGCAGCATGACTACAAAGCTGAAAAACAAACAAGTCACCCTTCCAATTTCAGTCTTTTAAAACATTTTACAGGTAACATAATAGACCTAAAAAATGAAACGCTTGGTAATCTTATAAAATCGCATTTTTCAGACTATACATTGTTTGTCTTTTGAAACAAACTGCAACATATATTCCAAAGCATTGCTGGTTTGCCAGTGTTGTTCAATGCAACCCTGAACACTCAAAATAGAGAACACAAACGCATGCCCCCTTCCAAAAAAAACCCCCTTCTACTTTTCTGATGGCAAACTTCACAAGATACGACCTCGGTACATTAATCAATGGTTTCTGTAGGGGGACAGGACCATTTTATATTCATACATCTAAATCTATAGCAGGTGAAATGAGTCACAAAGTCGTGGGAATTTTAGCGATGAGGATTTTACTTATCAATCAATTCCTTCAAGTAAAAACATTTGATAATTTCATGGAAAAAGTCTGACATATCCCTTCTTGGAAAATGGGTCTTTCAATGATGGAAACAAAGTCACAATTCCAAGGGCATACTGCTCTCTCTGCTTCTGGGTTGGAATCCTCCTACCAAAAATAAATGTCTTACATTTAGATTATACATTTATGTCTCAGCCTTAATTATTAGGTGAATAAAAAACATTTAAAAAATGACAATCAATTATCTTAAATGTGAAAATGTAGCTTACCCATGCCTCTCTGTCATGTGCCCCACCAGTATGTTAACAAGCGCTCTTCTCATTTCATTTGACAAGGTATCGGTGGCCATGTACTCTTCAAGGACTTCATCTCCTTTTGATTTTTCTTTCAAGGCAGCTAGCACCATCTAAGTTAAAACAATAAAAGAATAGTTTGCTCCTATATCATTCTTAGGCCTGTCACAATAAATACTTTTTGGTGCTACATATTGTCCCAGAAATCAATTGTGATAAATGATATTACTGACTTTTTTTCATTAGTTAGTCTATTTTAACATGATTATACAAATATTACACTAATTACACAAGCACAAAGTGGAAGAAACGGTATCACAGACAAACACAGATAACAGTATTTTACATTGTTAAAAGAGCTTTTTTTTCTTGCATGTCAATAATTTGTAAATAACACTACATGTTTCAAAATATCTTTTTATTGTGTTTAGGGGTTGTGACGATATTTCGCAGTACGAGAATACTTTCAAATGCTCATAATTTCAAATAAGATAAAAACAAGGACACTTACATTCATTTATGAAATCTGTAAAAGATACACTAATTACACAAGCACAAAGTGGAAGAAACGGTATCACAGACAAACACAGATAACAGTATTTTACATTGTTAAAAGAGCTTTTTTTTCTTGCATGTCAATAATTTGTAAATAACACTACATGTTTCAAAATATCTTTTTATTGTGTTTAGGGGTTGTGACGATATTTCGCAGTACGAGAATACTTTCAAATGCTCATAATTTCAAATAAGATAAAAACAAGGACACTTACATTCATTTATGAAATCTGTAAAAGAGAATCCATTCTGCAACTTTATGAATTTCTTGGAGTCTTTGAATGGCACTTTCACAAACATGACGTTAGCCTAAAGGGAAAAAAGGTCTTAAAACATCTGTGTAGAGAGTCACTTTAATTATCTTTTTATTTGTCTGTGACATCATAAAATAATTTGCTATATATTTTCAGTTCTACAAGTTGTATTATTATCTGAAACCTGCTATGATTTATATTCCATAGTGACTTTTGTGATTATATAATGCATTTAACACCAAATAAGCAAAAATAAATAAATAATAATAATAATAACAATAATTTAAAAAACAAATAAAAGCACATTAAAAGTGGGCGCTTCAAGGTTTCTATAGATGCATTTCTCATGCCTCGTGTATTTGAAGGAAAATGTGTGTTGTATTACTAAAGAGAGATTATACAATCAAATGGGGACTGTTTAAACATGTCTGTTAACGTTACTCCACACTGACTTGTAATTAAAATATTTTCTCCCGGTCAGGTATCTCTGGCTCCACAACTTTGAAAACCCCTGCCTACCTACACTACACTTTACACTGAGCACTTCTTAGGACTGGGTGACAGTGATATTTTAATTATGAGATAACTGGTCGACCGTTTTAGCTGGTTAAATAAAGACTGACACCGGCCTCGCCTCTCCACATGGCGAGTCAAAGAAAATGGCATCTTCGAGAAATTTCAGGCTGTAAAGCGCGCGCAGCACGTCCTGAACGCTACACAAACTTGGCAGTTAACTTAACATTATTTACACGTACATACACACAATATTCTAAACTGTAAGTGGTTGTTTGAGTCAGCCAGCTCAAGTACGCAAGTCCATATCGAATACATTGGAACAGGCTTTTAAGACAAACGGCTAACGTTAACGTTAAACACAATGATAAACAATGATTTATCGAACTATTTCGATTTATGAAATGCTTATCTTCATGAATTAAAGAACTTAACTTACCTTCTGCGTTTTTTCCAGTTTATTTGTAACGTAGGCCGTCTTATCTGCTCTGCAGCCCGAACTGGAGAAAATGATGTACGTTATGTGGGAAAAGTTAACACTTTTAGGACAGCACGTCAAGAAAATATTGCTTTTAAATAATGAGATTATAAATGACATACTGCAAAGAAAACTCACCGTCTACATTTCCAGTAAATGAGCACTGGCCTCGTCTGCAGGGTCAGTCGAAACAAATGGCGTCCAGCGCGCGCAGCGTGCCCTCAACGCTACACAGACTTGATTTTTAACGAAATGTACAAAAAAAAAATTATAATAATTACACTGACCTATTAAATAGCTTTGTTAGTTTTTTCAATCAACCAGGTCAAGTATTAAAGTCCATATCAAATCAATTTGAACAGTACAGCTAAACCCAATCGAAAACAATGATTTACATAACTTTATGAAATACATTACTTACTTTATGCACTTCTCCAATTATAAATGTATAATAATGTATGCTTCCAGTTAAAACACATATGCTTATCGCTCTGAGTGGCGATTCAAATAAAATGGCGTCAGCGAGAAGAGTTTGGCTTGTAGAAGCCCGCACCACGTACGTAAATGTCCCGGCTGTGTAATCACACTACCAGTGTTAATGAGGTCAGACTCTCAGTAGCTTCACCAGTCAGAGTATCCCTTTTACACCATCCGTGTTAATTCAACACCATAACATTAACACTTTACTCTAAAGCACCTTAACACCAGGATTTTAACTCTGCTGATTTTGCTGTGTACAATACAGAATCTTTCAAAGCAGCTTCACACTAATGGTGCAATGTAATGCAAAAATGTATTCAAATCTGTTCAAGTTTTGTTCTCATCCAAAGCCAGTGCAGCCAAATCAATAATATTACTGAATATGAATTGTGTTCTGTGCCCCCAACTTAGCAGGCCAAAGGCAACAGTGTGAAAAAAACCAAACTCCATCAGATGACAGAAACAAAGAAAGAAAATCTTTGGCAGAAACCAGATTCAGTCAGGCACCAGTTGTCTTCTGATCAAATGAACAAACACAGTGATGTATGACTGAATCAGATTTGTGAATGGATGGACATCACTCATTTTCATATCCAAGAGAACGCTGCATCAAAGGCAGCACTAAGGTCCAGTAACACTAACACAGAGTCACAAGCACGATCAGAAGGAAACGGACTGAACCCTGACTGGAATTCAGCGCAGATATCTTTCCAAGAAGGAACAAAGTTGTGGAGATACCAGTTTTATAGTATTTTTAATAGAAATTAGAGATTTGGAATCGGTCTGTAGTGAACTCATTTTGGAAGTGGAACAATTTTTGCTCAGAAATTGCTAGTAAATGTCACTATTAATTACAAAGGGGGTAATTGAGAATGAATGGGGGAAAGTCACGTGAGAGTGATGCGAAACAGTCTGAATAAGCATTATAATGACGTTAATAGGTAGACTATTTTTTAAAAAAAGAATGTAAACAACTCACACAATTATATATATATATATATATAAATATCTCTGAACTTTTCATAGTTATTAAATTAATTTTTGAGAAATGGACAATTCATTTTGGTTTTTCTCTTCTCACTTTTTTTGTGATTTGCTACTGAATGTAACTGGTGATTTTACAATTTATATTCATTTGTGTAAAAAAAAAACATATAAGCTAATTGTGGTTAAAAGTGTACATCCGAGTTGCACCAGTGTTACATTAGCTATATTAGCGAAAGGAAAGAGAAGAATCTAAACCAGTTCCAGCATTCAACTTAGTTCTGAATAGTAAAAAATAATGGTGTGCAGGACGCCGTGAGCCCTGAGACTGTAGTTTTTAAATGCTTGGACTAAGAATAAACGTATTCTCAACGGAAATGCACCCGGGAACAGTTACGTCTTAAATATCCAAGACATGCTAACACAGTTTTCTGTAAAACCACTTTGAAACTACACACGCACAAACACACACACAACTGTTTTTTAATCACTTAAGACTTGTGTAAGGCTCACACGACTGGCCCAACGGAGGTATCCAACGGTGGCTGAAGGTTTCTTGCATGTTCGATCTTTTCAGTGCGCAAAGTTATTTAATTTAAGTTCAATTCTAATCTGACTCCATTTTATTATGACCTCGAATTTAGGTTGAAATGCAAATTGGTTGTTTGTCAATTTCTAATTGTTATTATTCTGACATTTGATTATTCTATTTAACTCTTTACTTTATATTTACTCGTTCATTAGGAATCTATGTCGCTCGGGTGTATCACGCCGGCTGTTTTACGTAAACCACACGATCACAAACTCTCCAGTCTGATCATTAGCCAGAGGTTATGACTAACTATTTAATGGGTCACCTCATGCTTGTCATTCTTTAAATAGCGGTTCTGTTTAGCCCCCTACAGTCACCCATGTAACAACTTAGTACTATTTATCTAGCCCCCGATAGTTATTTAACTATGAGACAATAATCAGAGGTTATGCTAGTACTATGAAATATGTTAGTATTTCAATAGTATTTTTATCTAGCCCCGATAGTTAGAAATAACTATGCACAACTTAATTAAAGCTGAGACAATAACCAGAGGTTATGGCTAGTACTATGAAATATGGCCGAACCATGCTAGTACTCCAATAGTACTTTGTCAAGCCCCCCATAGTTAATGAAACTGCATAACAACTTAATTAGAGTCAAGCCGTTAGTCAGAAATCTAGCATCTCACCTGATGTGCCCCATGCTCCATCTAACCAGAGATCTAGTATCCACTTAACCCTGGACGCAGATTTGCGGTAACATACGCCTTCACTTAATCTACTTGAGAAAATAATTTCAGAGTAAGTCAGAATAAAATCAAATGTAGCAATTTATTATCAGTCAGGTAAATATGTATTATGCCATAGCCAATTCAAAGATATCAAAGCAATACAAAACATCAAATTCTCAAAGATGAACCTAAGAGTAAGAAATGCATATCTGACTTTAGAAAGATACATAGTGAGGAGTGTAGAGACACAGAGACAAAGCTTCTGGCTACAGAATCGCCCTGAGCTTTTTGCAGTTTTCATTTAAATACCCAGACCAAGACAAACATTCTCCAAAATGGAGACAGGAACTAAAAATTTGAATTTGCATTGATCAAGTCGAGTTGACACCTTTTGGGACAGAAGGTAATTTGCATGAAAGACACTGGGATATGACACCCTCTACAGTAATCAACGTATCTCTAAACTCTTAGGATCTGTATGACCTTTTTCTAACCTTGATGGCTGTCTGTCTTATTGTTAAGAGAATGAGATCTTTTTACCAGACACACAGAGACCTTTCAAACAACATCAAACATGAGTCGGTGCATTGTTATAAACGGGTTAAGACAAGTGGTTTCGGTGATCTCTGTAGTGTCCTGAGTTTAGATGGAAATGAGGGGAGAGTGAGTAAAGGAAGTGGATAGGTGAGAAGGGACTTCTCTCACATCTTCTCTCAGTGAGATGTCGAAAAAGATGTCTGTATGTTAATGCACTGTGTGTGTAATGTCCGTCAAGCTCTGTAAATCTTACACTTACAAGTAAAATTGTGAAAATGACCCAAACACATTCATCTTGAAACGGATTCTGCTGAGCTCTTTTGAGATATGAATGCTGTTCCATGCACTTTCCATGACAGAGAGGCAAATGGAAATAACGTGTCAAATGTAGTCTGGAACAATTTACTGCAATTTTGCAACCTCAGGTGAAGAATAAAGCAAAGATGAATGTAGTTTCTCTTTATTAGATGTTTACTAGACTGTTCAGTGTATTTTCTACAACAACAGCTCCATCTGTTGGTAGAGTACAGTTATTGCACTGATAAATCAAAATATTACAGATATAACATTAAAGGGATAGTTCACCCAATAAAATAATTACCCCATGATTTACTCACCCTCAAGCCATCCTAGGTTTATATGACTTCTTCTTTCAGATGAATACAATCGGAGGTCGAGATTTTGAAGCAAAACAAAGTGCGTCCATCCATTATAAAAAGTGGTCCACATGGCTCCGGGAGGTTGATAAAGGCCTTCTGAAAATGAATCGATGCATTTGTGTAAGAATAATATCCAGATTTCAAACTTTATAAGCTATAAACTCTAGCTTCCGCTAACTGACATACGTGTGTTCACGGGGAGAGTGGAGTTCAGCGGATGACGTAGGACGCAGGCGTAGCGTAAGCTCTGGAGAGAAGTGATGAATGCAGAAGTGCAGAGGAGAGAGAAAAACCAAACACCGGAATTAGTACAAACTAGTACAATTAGTACAAAACGAGGATTTGTAAAAAAAAATTTTTAAATAAATGTCGATTTCGATATAACCCAAAAGGAGACTAGTATTCCTTTGCTGTAAACAAAACTTGGTTCTTGTGAGACTAGCATATTCTCACCGGAGCTTACTCTACGCCGACATCTTACTTCATCCGCTGAACTCTACTCTCATGTACGTGCATTCAACAGTTAGCAGAAGCTAGAGAACAAGATTTAAAAGGTTTTAAATATGGATATTATTCTTACACAAATGCATCGATTCACTTCAGGAGGCTTTTATTAACCCTCAAAAGCCATGTGGAGTAGTTTTTTTTTTCATATAATGGATACGCTTTATTGGACTTCTATTGGACTACTGAATATCAACAGCCAATCAACGTATCTCTAAACTCTTAGGATCTGTATGACCTTTTTCTAACCTTGATGGCTGTCTGTCTTATTGTTAAGAGAATGAGATCTTTTTACCAGACACACAGAGACCTTTCAAACAACATCAAACATGAGTCGGTGCATTGTTATAAACGGGTTAAGACAAGTGGTTTCGGTGATCTCTGTAGTGTCCTGAGTTTAGATGGAAATGAGGGGAGCGTGAGTAAAGGAAGTGGATAGGTGAGAAGGGACTTCTCTCACATCTTCTCTCAGTGAGATGTCGAAAAAGATGTCTGTATGTTAATGCACTGTGTGTGTAATGTCCGTCAAGCTCTGTAAATCTTACACTTACAAGTAAAATTGTGAAAATGACCCAAACACATTCATCTTGAAACGGATTCTGCTGAGCTCTTTTGAGATATGAATGCTGTTCCATGCACTTTCCATGACAGAGAGGCAAATGGAAATAACGTGTCAAATGTAGTCTGGAACAATTTACTGCAATTTTGCAACCTCAGGTGAAGAATAAAGCAAAGATGAATGTAGTTTCTCTTTATTAGATGTTTACTAGACTGTTCAGTGTATTTTCTACAACAACAGCTCCATCTGTTGGTAGAGTACAGTTATTGCACTGATAAATCAAAATATTACAGATATAACATTAAAGGGATAGTTCACCCAATAAAATAATTACCCCATGATTTACTCACCCTCAAGCCATCCTAGGTTTATATGACTTCTTCTTTCAGATGAATACAATCGGAGGTCGAGATTTTGAAGCAAAACAAAGTGCGTCCATCCATTATAAAAAGTGGTCCACATGGCTCCGGGAGGTTGATAAAGGCCTTCTGAAAATGAATCGATGCATTTGTGTAAGAATAATATCCAGATTTCAAACTTTATAAGCTATAAACTCTAGCTTCCGCTAACTGACATACGTGTGTTCACGGGAGAGTGGAGTTCAGCGGATGACGTAGGACACAGGCGTAGCGTAAGCTCTGGAGAGAAGTGATGAATGCAGAAGTGCAGAGGAGAGAGAAAAACCAAACACCGGAATTAGTACAAACTAGTACAATTAGTACAAAACGAGGATTTGTAAAAAAAAAAATTTAAATAAATGTCGATTTCGATATAAACCAAAAGGAGACTAGTATTCCTTTGCTGTAAACAAAACTTGGTTCTTGTGAGACTAGCATATTCTCACCGGAGCTTACTCTACGCCGACATCTTACTTCATCCGCTGAACTCTACTCTCATGTACGTGCATTCAACAGTTAGCAGAAGCTAGAGAACAAGATTTAAAAGGTTTTAAATATGGATATTATTCTTACACAAATGCATCGATTCACTTCAGGAGGCTTTTATTAACCCTCAAAAGCCATGTGGAGTAGTTTTTTTTTTCATATAATGGATACGCTTTATTGGACTTCTATTGGACTACTGAATATCAACAGCCAATCAATGCCATTATAAAGCTTGGAAGAGACAGGACATTTGTTAATATAACTCTGATTAAATTAGTCTGAAAGAATTACTGTAAGTCATATACACCCAGGAAGGTTTAAGGGTAAGTAAATCATGGTGTAATTTTCATTCTTGTGTGAACTATCCCTTTAATTGTTTAGATTTTATAATGCATTATCTTCTTGTCAATCCACCAGTTATCATTTAAAAATATGGGTCAATTTTATCTTTGGTTTGAACAAAAACAGCAGACGGGCTTATTGAAAATGCTAATTAATTCTCTGCCAGCAGGTGGCACTTTTGGAATGGCAGAAATATAGCAATTTTCCGGGTAACAGCAGTACACAAAGCAGTGACTTTGAAGCATGCAGTGAATTTAAGATTTCTTGAAATCATAATTAAGACTTTCTTTCTTTCTGTGATCTAGATACTGGGGTGCCTCAGGGCTCAGTTCTTGGACCACTTCTCTTCTCTGTCTACATGGCAACACTAGGTTCTGTCATTCAGAAACATGGCTTTTCATATCACTGCTACGCTGATGACACTCAACTCTACCTCTCATTCCATCCTGATGATCCGATGATAGCTGCTCGCATCTCAGCTTGTCTAACAGACATTTCTTGCTAGATGAAGGACCATCACCTCCAACTCAACCTTTCCAATACAGAACTGCTTGTGGTTCCATCAAACCCATCACTACATCACTTTTACTTTGTCCAGCTATAGGCGCAACAACGATAACTCCTTCCAGAACAGGCAGGGGCCAATTTAGTGATTTAGGGGCCACATATAAAATATAGGAATGGGGCCCTATACAGTTGCACACATTTACCTGAATCAACCTTGAGGTTCCTGTATCTGTTGTGATGCTTGCTGCTACACAACGGTGCCCCATAGCTGTGTCCAATGTTTCTACAGTTTTCATGTATGTTATAAAGGCTTTCTTTCATGTTGTAGACCATAAAGGTGAAATCACAGATGGAAATGTCAGAGTGATGTGGAGTGGCTTAGACTTGCCATGTCATAATTTTTTATCCCATCCCAGTGTGGTTAAAGTATTCACGTTTAAACATGTTATGTATTAGAGTAGATTGGACACTAGGTGGTGCTTTGGGGTATTTTTTTACTGCGTAGTTGCCTGCACTCTCCAAAGGCTGTCAAATTCTAAACTTTAAAATACATTTATTTTTAGTTATTTTAACTACAAATTTAAATGAAACTGAAAAAATATTTTAAAAAGCATGTCCGCGCTTAATATGCTTCTCGTATATGAAAAGCATTTTAGGGGGCCCTTGACTTTGTGGGGCCCAAGGCATTTGCCTACCTTTGCCTAATGGGTAAGTCCACCTCTGCAGCAAGGACCCTTCGAGTTATGCTTGATGATCAGCGGAATTTCTCAGACCACATTGTTAGAACTGCCCGGTCCTGCAGATTTGCTTCATACAACATTAAAAAGATCAGGCCCTTTCTAACGGAACATGCTACACAACTCCTTGTCCTACAAAACTCCACAACCCCAGACACACAATGGAAGTGGAACAATTGTCACTCAGAAATGGCTAATAAATGTAACAAATTACAAAGAAACGGCAAGTAACATTGAATTAAACATGACATTTTAAAGTACCAAGACTAATATAGTATATTCTTGTAAAAGTATTCTTTGTTTATTTACAGCTTTAAAAAAAAAAGAAAAAAAATGTATATATATATATATACAGTGCATAAGCGTCAAGGATCTGGATTATCATTTTGTTGGACTGTATATACACTTCCAACACACTAGGATCCTTTAGGGTTGCTTTAGGGTGTGATGCAATGAACTCTTTGCTTTTAACAGCCTACATTTTCCTGCTTTTATTGTGTTGTTTTAAAGATGCATGAGGATATTATAAATACAACATTCTTATCTCTATCTCTGTTGTATTCTTTTAACAGCCACAACCTCACATAGTACTATCTGACCCTGTTTCTACACAGCTAACATCAGCCGGTTTGGAGAAACCTGATCTGTGTGGAGGGAGCTGCCGTACTCACTGTACTCAGTTGTGTTGAAGCTGCTTTGTAAAGATGTGAGCAGAAAACCACCAAATTGTCAATATAGGCTATTTTAATATATTGCTTTTCAATTAGGCCCATCATATATAGATTTAATATGCAATTAATTCACATATAAAGTGTATTACTGGTAAAAGCAGTGTTGTGGCAAATTATAAGTAAGTTATCTTATGATGTTATGTTTGTGGGTCTATTGCTGGTTGTCTATACTCTCCTGACTAACTTGTCCAGTCTTAAGGTCATCATGTGCTGTTGTATCATCTCTGTTGTCTGTGTTAGCTGCGGGTGGGATGATAGTCTCTTCCACAGTCTGTACCACAGAAAACCTAGAGCTGCCATTAGAACCATCACCAACAATCCCCGTTGTGTTTGCACTTATTTTGTCCTGTGGTTTCTCATTTAAAGTGGCTTCATCAGTCTTCTGGTTCTCTGGGCTGCTCTCTCTCAGAGTCTCCTGTAACTGACTCCCACAGGCTTTATTTGAGTTTTCATCTAAAGCGGGTTTGGTGGGATCTGTGGGAGACGCTGCGCTCCAGCATTCAGATAACTGATCGGCGGTGCTCGACTCCTCCTTGTCCTCCACAAACACCTCCTGTCCTGCTTTAGTCTCCACAGCATTACCAGCCTTATAGAAGCCCAGCAGTGTCACACTTTTCTTGCGTTTGCTGAGGTGCGGGACTTTGCCTTTCACGGCTCCAGCTTCTTTGAACATGTTGCGGATGTTGTATTCCTCCTGAGGTTTTTTGGAAGTGTCTTTATTACCCGTCCTGCTGTCTGAGATTGTTGTGTCATTCGATGTGTTTCCAGGCTTTGGTGTAGGAAGATTCATCGAACCCTGCAGGCTGTTCCTCTTATCCATGTGAGTGACACGAAATCTGTCAATTTAGGTAAGTATAAAGATGGTATTCAGCTTGGCTATATTCTTTAAACTTGTATGCGCATAATGCACATCTTAATTATAGTCTACTATTATTACCTTCCATTCATAGATAATATAGTAGCACTTCTGAACCTACCCCTACCCCATGTAATTACCTTATATTACCTGTACTTTCTTAGGTAGGTACACTGTAAAGCGCACGTACTGTAAAATAAAGTGCAACCGATACTATTCTGTAATACTTACTGGTGTAAACAGTATCACACAGTCAAAAGTCTGGACACACTTTTCTTATTATCCTAAAACACTCATGACCATGAAGGATAATCTTTTAATGCTTGAAATTATTTTTTTAGACTAATATTAATCATGATTACCTATGAATTTATTTCCAAAACCGGGTCCGTTTTAGTGTACTTTTCATTATTATTTTGTACTGTTCTCTGAGGTCCACTTATAATGTTATCAAGATTTTTACATCAACACATATATCATAATGGAAGTAATAGACTCTGTTCTGTCCTGTTTTTACCCCCCTCATCATGTGCACAGGCAAGTGTCATCGCCAACTACTGGCCTGGCATAAATAATACAGCGTTTTTAGCTGTTCACAGATCCGTTATGACAGCACTGTCATCTGTATGCAAAACTTTTCAAATACACAAAGGAATAACTTTTCTATGTTTAGTACAATCTTTGTTGTACAAACTTACCCTAAAAAGCATCCTGGGTTCTCGTCTTTGCTGGCAGTGTGGTTAGCGTTTAGGTTTTCTCCTGACTTTATATTTGTTTTCTATGTGTTGTGTTTGACACATGACAGTTTCACTATTGCTGGTTGTCTATACTCTCCTGACTAACTTGTCCAGTCTTAAGGTCATCATGTGCTGTTGTATCATCTCTGTTGTCTGTGTTAGCTGCGGGTGGGATGATAGTCTCTTCCACAGTCTGTACCACAGAAAACCTAGAGCTGCCATTAGAACCATCACCAACAATCCCCGTTGTGTTTGCACTTATTTTGTCCTGTGGTTTCTCATTTAAAGTGGCTTCATCAGTCTTCTGGTTCTCTGGGCTGCTCTCTCTCAGAGTCTCCTGTAACTGACTCCCACAGGCTTTATTTGAGTTTTCATCTAAAGCGGGTTTGGTGGGATCTGTGGGAGACGCTGCGCTCCAGCATTCAGATAACTGATCGGCGGTGCTCGACTCCTCCTTGTCCTCCACAAACACCTCCTGTCCTGCTTTAGTCTCCACAGCATTACCAGCCTTATAGAAGCCCAGCAGTGTCACACTTTTCTTGCGTTTGCTGAGGTGCGGGACTTTGCCTTTCACGGCTCCAGCTTCTTTGAACATGTTGCGGATGTTGTATTCCTCCTGAGGTTTTTTGGAAGTGTCTTTATTACCCGTCCTGCTGTCTGAGATTGTTGTGTCATTCGATGTGTTTCCAGGCTTTGGTGTAGGAAGATTCATCGAACCCTGCAGGCTGTTCCTCTTATCCATGTGAGTGACACGAAATCTGTCAATTTAGGTAAGTATAAAGATGGTATTCAGCTTGGCTATATTCTTTAAACTTGTATGCGCATAATGCACATCTTAATTATAGTCTACTATTATTACCTTCCATTCATAGATAATATAGTAGCACTTCTGAACCTACCCCTACCCCATGTAATTACCTTATATTACCTGTACTTTCTTAGGTAGGTACACTGTAAAGCGCACGTACTGTAAAATAAAGTGCAACCGATACTATTCTGTAATACTTACTGGTGTAAACAGTATCACACAGTCAAAAGTCTGGACACACTTTTCTTATTATCCTAAAACACTCATGACCATGAAGGATAATCTTTTAATGCTTGAAATTATTTTTTTAGACTAATATTAATCATGATTACCTATGAATTTATTTCCAAAACCGGGTCCGTTTTAGTGTACTTTTCATTATTATTTTGTACTGTTCTCTGAGGTCCACTTATAATGTTATCAAGATTTTTACATCAACACATATATCATAATGGAAGTAATAGACTCTGTTCTGTCCTGTTTTTACCCCCCTCATCATGTGCACAGGCAAGTGTCATCGCCAACTACTGGCCTGGCATAAATAATACAGCGTTTTTAGCTGTTCACAGATCCGTTATGACAGCACTGTCATCTGTATGCAAAACTTTTCAAATACACAAAGGAATAACTTTTCTATGTTTAGTACAATCTTTGTTGTACAAACTTACCCTAAAAAGCATCCTGGGTTCTCGTCTTTGCTGGCAGTGTGGTTAGCGTTTAGGTTTTCTCCTGACTTTATATTTGTTTTCTATGTGTTGTGTTTGACACATGACAGTTTCATGTTTTTTGATGACTTTAGTATTGTTCTGAAGTGCAGGGCAGTAATGAAGAATGAGTGTGACTGGTAATCAGATAAAGAATCTCACCTGCCCACAGAAAACACGGTCTGCTCTCCCAGCCGGGCTCTGCTTCGAGACACTCGGCTCCTGCGGCGTGTTTTTAACACGTGACTCTGCATACAGTGAACACACGAGCTGATCTCGCCTCCCAGATGAACGGTGTGATGGTGAAGGGGAAGACCACCGACGCTATCTTTGTGACGCAAGCTGCTGAGAAGACAGAGCATTAGAGAAATAACTTCAGCCTCTACTCCTCTATTACATCTGCACCCATTCAGAGATCAGTGTGCACACTAATTCACACATTTACATGCCTTTGCTTGTCCTACATCACTGTGGGGGTATACAGGACCAATGCTGAACTCAGTACTCAATACATTCTACTTCAATATATTACAACTAAAATATTTGCAAACATACTGGAAGATCGTAAATAATCTCAGCTTGCGTCATATCAAACTACATATATGCATATATAACATAACAAAACATTTTAAACAAAACATGTCTATGAATTGGTGTTTCTCTGTTTATCAGACAAATACATATTTAAAGAGTCACAAAAATAACGATCATACCGTGGATCGAGATGTTCGCAAACATTTTGGCCAACCAGCATCTCTTTGAAAGCCTCCATATTGGCTGTAGCACAAAAATAACAGCATTTTCAACCACGGAAATCATTTAAATGCAGAACAGAACAGGGCAGAGTGAATGATCTGTACCTTCATTCTCAATGATGCATTTCAGGATTTGTTCCACTGTGTCTTGACTGTCTTCTGATTCATCTGAGGGGAAAAAAACAATTTTCTAATTTGATATAATATTTCAATTATGGTAATGATCTGCAAACAGTTTCTTCCACTATTTATGTAAATAGCATTGTAATTACAGCCACTGCAATGTTTTATTAAAGTCAAAAAGTGTTGCAATGTTCTGTGTATCAGTAAGAGAGAGTGAACCTCCTTTTGCGCAGATTCAGTCCAGTTTACTGAACAGGAAGTGTGTGTGTGTGTGTGTGTGTGTGTGTGTGCGCTAATGATATGTGATCGCTTATTCAGCTTCCTGCTTGAAGTTCTTGTATTCTAATTATCATTAGTCAAATGATGACATTTGGTGGCTTGCAGTTTGCCAGCTTCTCAAGGTCTTTCTGTGGAGATTGCTGAATTAGTCATGACACTGGATCATCTTACAGAGTGTCTCTCCTATTGAAAGCTGGAGAGCGTGAGCGAGATCCTCTGCAGAATGATTCAGCATTCTCATGACCTCCACAAGAAAACACACACTGATGACGCTGCAGGAATCGTTCTCATCCTCAGACCATCGAAACACCTAATCATCAGTGTGTTTCGCTTAGTCTGTGCTCCTAACTCCAACTCATCATTCAGACGCATGAACAAAATAAGAATTTCATATCATATCCTGCCTACAGGAATCCAATTTCCCAACATATTTATAAAAATGTCTCATCGCAGGATAACTACTCAGCTAGTGATGGTGAAATATGCGCAACAACAAGAACGGGACATTTTTTATATTCAACATATCTTTGCAAAAACCTCTATTGGCCTATACCTGCCGAATTTAATTTTATGATCGCCTACTGAATGAACTCAAATGAAAACCTTGGAAAATTACAGACAGGTACTGCATGTCAGATACAGCCCTGCTGAAAAAACCACAGAAACCATCACAGAAGTTCTAATGGTTTGCACTACAAATACCATTACAAACCATCAACTATTAACCATTAAACAATGGTTTTCTGTAGTGTGTTTTGGGACATATTCCATTAGGATTTAGTGGTTTTAACAAGCCACCAGTAGAAGGCGACCAATTACCAGTGGAGTCCCACGGGGACCATTACAGCTTCCATTAAAACCAACACAATTCCCATCATAACATCCAGGTGGATGCTGCACACTGGTGGGGGTTGAGGAGAGACCCCCCCACATGATTGTAAAGCGCTTTGGGTGTACAACAATACACAATAAAGCACTATATAAATGCATCATTCATTCATTCATTCATTCATTCATAACCAGTAAAACCATTACAAATTCTGTGATGGTGTCTATTGTAACGTACGTACTAAACGTACTACTGCGCAGCCACAAATATATATAGATATCCTCATGCATTTTGTTTTAAACTGTCCATTAAATGATTCATACTTGTATAATCTAAAGAGACAAATACACCGCACAAAAAGAGAATATTGTCAGTGCACTCAGCCAATACTTCACAGAGCAATGCACGTGACTTATATCTCACCTTCAGCTCTTTGCTGATGTCTTCTGTGACGCGCAGATGAGGACATCACATTTCATATTTTCATCACATTTCGGACTTTTAAGAAATGGCGAAGCTATATTTATTTTGAGAACAAACCCAATGGGCTGCTCTGTTCACTGCAACTCAAAGACTATATATACCGGAATTATCACAGGTGTCCTGCATGTGTGATTATTGTCATTAATAGTTCTACTCTATAACTATTAATAGCGCGTTGATACACACACACACTTAACTAAATAATGCGCTCCTCTCTCTGAGTTTTCATAGACTCGTGCCAAGATAAAGTCAGGTCAAGCAGCTGTTATTAACACAACACAGTGACACAATCAGCAGGATGTTATTGATGTGTTTCATCATGACTTTAACTGATGATTGTGGCGTGCCATTTAAATGTCTTTATCATAACGCTACATTTCTCAGGCCTAATAACCTTTAAAAGAGAGAAAGTCAGAGACCACATGGCGTAAAACAGTTCAAACGCGAAGCATATTTTTCGCCTCGAGAGCATTAATGATGCGAATGTTCTCAGGTAGTCTACTCACCAGAGCTTCTGAGCAGCAGACGAGCTTGTTATGAGGCTCTCAGGATGACACTGAGAGAGAAACAGCAGCAGCTGGACTCAGGATGCAGTCCCCTACATATTTAAAGCAAGATGACACAGACATGCTCAGCTCTCTGCAGCAGCTGCTTCACTTCTGCAAAAGATGAAAACATTCACCCAAAAACAGTTTTCTCATCATATACTGTGCATGTACACAGCCTCGTGTCGGCACAGCTGTAGATGACTTATCAAATAAACAAATCATCTGTCTCCTTATAATGTCCATACAGTGCACAAACAAACAAGCAAAATATCTAATTAACTAACTAAAATGAATTTATTTGTTTATTAATGATCGCAACAGTATGTATCAATCTTTTGGAGTTATGACAACTACCAACAAACTACACAAAGATCGAGGTACTTAATAATTTGTAGCATAAACACAAATTGGTAAGTTGATTGCTCAAACAAACACACAGATAAAAGTTGTGGTCCTGGAACCAATAAATCTATTTCAGTTCAAAACAGGTTCAACAGTTTATTTTCTTTATCCAGTCATGCTGGAAACTAGAATCCACTGCCCAATTTCCAAAGTTATCAAGACAATTTCATTAAGTAATTAACTTTATTATCATTTGTTTTTAAATAATTAACAGAAATTTGAGTTTAAATTACACACAATATTAAGTTGTAGCTAATGATCAACATTATGTCAACAGAAGTCATCAAAATAATATTTGCAACGTGAAAGGAGGTTTAATAATAAAAAA